TTCACAGCGGCGGATTCAGGCGGGGGCGTGCGCCCCCTTAAAATTTGCAAAGCATGGGTTGTCATCAGCTTAATAGAATATTTCGATAATTTTACCTCAAAAAAATTTAACTTTACGCCCCCCTCCCTCAACCTAAAATCCTGGATCCGCCCCTGATTCAATCCATCTTGTATGGGAAAGGATTTGTATAGGCATTGCCTCAAGTTTGTTCAATCCCTTTGTTTAAATGTACGATTGATATTTGAACAATACAATATTTTGAATTAAATAGAAATAAAACATTTCACTATGAAAGGGTAACTTTTATAATGTCTGGGACTATTATACTATTAGTATGATAGTCCCAGATAATGTGTTCCCAAGAAGAGCATTTAAAATTTCACGAAATGGTACCTTCCATGTGTTCCCTATAGCCACATTAATATGTGTGTTCCCAAAATTAACATTGCATTAAATGGTAACTTAAATTATGGATCAAATCCCTTGAATACAATTTTTTAACTAGATTAAAATTTCAGAGAAGATATTTTAAAAAGATTACAATGACAAAAATTGGATTACGAACGCCTAGTGATGACAAAAGCTCACATGACCTTAAAGGCCAGGTGAGCTTAAAATTGCTTTGATGTTTGTTAACTCTAAAGACTGCAGTAAGCTTAATCTTGTAATTTTTTTTTTTTTGTTACCGCTTGGCAAAGAGGATACAATTTTTTACTTTCTTCTAAAAGTAAAATTGGTTTGATTATTAATCTATATTTATCTAAATTAATCATCTTAAAAAGAAAATGTTAAATGTTATGTCTGTTACATGCACTTTATCCTGAGACTCACATTAAGCAAAAACTTTATCCAGTCACATTAATTGAAAAATTTCTTATCAACATTTTATTTCCAAAAATATCAATTTGTCAGAGTCATAACTTTATATAATAAAATGCTCCGCAGGGCGCAGCTTGATACGACCGCAGAGGTCGAACCCTGAACAGTTGGGGCAAGTATGGACACAACATTCAAGCTTGATACAGCTCTGAATTTGGATTGTGATTAAATATTTGACACAGCATAGGTTTCTGACACAGAATGAATGTGGTCTAAGAACTTAAAAATTTTAAATTGGACATTCACCTATTATGGTCCAATATCCAAAATCTAAGTACATGGTTAGATTCAGCTTATCAAAGAACCCCAAGAATTCAATTTTTGATGAAATCAAACAAAGTTTAATTTTGAACCCTTTTGATCTCAATGTGGACAAAAATGATAACAGGGCCCAAAAATCAAAAATCTAAATACATGGTTAGATTCAGCATATTAAAGAACCCCATATATTCAATTTTTGTTGAAATCAAACAAAGTTTAATTTTGGACCCCGATTTGGACCAACTTGAAAACTGGGCCCATAATCAAAAATCTAAATACATGTTTAGATTCAGCATATCAAAGAACCCTAAAAATTCAATTTTTGTTAAAATCAAACTAAGTTTAATTTTGGACCCTTTGGACCTTTATGTAGACCAATTTGAAAACGGAACCAAAAATTAAGAATCTAAATACACGGTTAGATTCGGCATATCAAAGAACCCCAATAATTCAATTTTTGATGAAATCAAACAAAGTTAAATTTTGGACCCTTTGGACTTCAATGTGGACCAATTTAAAAACGGGGCCCAAAATCCAAAAACTTAATACACGGTTAGATTCAGCATATTACAGAACCCCATATATTCAATTTTTTTTTAAATCAAAGTTTAATTTTGGACCCCGATTTGGACCAACTTGAAAACTGGGCCCATAATCAAAAATCTAAATACATGGTTAGATTCAGCATATCAAAGAACCCCATATATTCAATTTTTGTTGAAATCAAACAAAGTTTAATTTTGGACCCCGATTTGGACCAACTTGAAAACTGGGCCCATAATCAAAAATCTAAATACATGGTTAGATTCAGCATATCAAAGAACCCCATATATTCAATTTTTGATGAAATCAAACAAAGTTTAATTTTGGACCCTTTTGATCTCAATGTGGACAAAGTTGATAACGGGCCCAAAAATCAAAAATCTAAATACATGGTTAGATTCAGCATATCAAAGAACCCCATATATTCAATTTTTGTTGAAATCAAACAAAGTTTAATTTTGGACCCCTATTTGGACCAACTTGAAAACTGGGCCCATAATCAAAAATCTAAATACATGGTTAGATTCAGCATATCAAAGAACCCCATATATTCAATTTTTGTTGAAATCAAACAAAGTTTAATTTTGGACCCCTATTTGGACCAACTTGAAAACTGGGCCCATAATCAAAAATCTAAATACATGGTTAGATTCAGCATATCAAAGAACCCCATATATTCAATTTTTGTTGAAATCAAACTAAGTTTAATTTTGGACCCTTTGGACCTTTATGTAGACCAATTTGAAAACAGAACCAAAAATTAAGAATCTAAATACACGGTTAGATTCGGTATATCAAAGAACCCCAATAATTCAATTTTTGATGAAATCAAACAAAGTTAAATTTTGGACCCTTTAGACCTCAATGTGGACCAATTTAAAAACGGGGCCCAAAATCCAAAAACTTAATACACGGTTAGATTCAGCATATTAAAGAACCCCAAGAATTCAAGAATAAAACCCCATTGAAATTGATCAAGAAATAAGCAATTTATACGAAGTATCTTCTTTTGCACAATACTGTGCAATTGATTATTTCTTGCTATTGCGCAATACTGTACAATTGACAATTTCTTGCTATTGCTCATTATTGTGCTATTGGATATTTCTTGCTATTGCGCAATACTGTGCAATTGAAGATTTCTTGCTATTGCGCAATACTGTGCAATTGAAGATTTCTTGCTATTGTGCAATACTGTGCAATTGAAAATTTCTTGCTATTGCACAATACTTATTATATAATAATTAACACATCCTGTTTGGTGTGTATCTCCTACCATATCATTATTATTTGCTTTTAAATATAAATCAGAAATAACCAACTTAAAATGGAAAATTTTAAAAGAAAAAAAAAAGGAAAAAAAAAAAAAAAAAATAAAAAAAAAAATCCCCCCCCAAAATTTTTTGAACCCCCTTATGATTCATCACCCCCAAACTCAATCTCAGCCTTCCCTTTGTGATATGGAACCTTGTAGTACAATTTCAGAAATATCCAAACACTTACACACAAGTTATTGTCATGAAACTAGAAAAATGCTTGTTTTTTGCCCCTTTTTTGGCCCCTAATTCCTAACATTTTGAGGCAATTACCCCCAAAATCAATTACAGCCTTCCCTTTGTGATATGGAACCTTGTGGTACAATGTCAGAGAGATCCATACACTTACACACAAGTTATTGTCTGGAAGTTACAAAAATGCTTATTTTTGGCCCCTTTTTGGCCCCTAATTCCTGAACTGTTGGTACCATAACCCCCAAAATCAATCCCAACCTTCCTATCGTGGTATTGAACCTTATGGTAAAATTTCATGGAGATCCATTCACTTAAACTAAAGTTAGAGTGCGAAAACCAATGTGTCTTCGGACGACGCCGACGTCATACCAATATACGACCAAAAAATTTTTAATTTTTGCGGTCGTATAAAAATAAGAAGATGTGGTATGATTGCCAATGAGACAACTCTTGTGGCGAGACCAAATGACACAGAAATTAACAACTATAGATCACTGTACAGCCTTCAACTTTATGACCATTTATCCATATAACACTGAATGGTTGTAAAAATTAATTGTCAAATATCTGATGCAGTAAAATGGGTTTTGCATCCAGAAATCATAATATTTTGAATTCTCATAACAATCAAGGATCATTACTCTGAAAGCAGTTAAATTGGAAATGACTAAAATTAAAGTTTTCTGGGTTAAATGGTCCAAAATACACTGAAAATCAGTCCTTTTTATGGAGCTGTTGTAATGTTATCAGGAAACAAGGTTGGCAAATAAAATTATCAACCATGCCAGCATTAAATACTTGCAAATACTGGTCAATAGAACTTTTGATAGGACATATAGTAAAGCAGTCCCTACCCGATCAATTACTGGGTAAACAGACATAGTCACAGGAAAGAAAGTCATTAAATTGTTGGAAAAAAAGTCACATTTAATTAGTTAACAATGTTTGAATAAATAAGAGTCAATCCTTGAAATAATACCTCTGCTGGTGGACTGTTTGTCCTCCACTTCACCAGACGAGTAACCAGTACTTCCGTACTGGCTGGAAAATATGAATCAGGTTGGAAATAATGTCTAATTTGGTACATGCAGGGAAGATAGTCACATTAAATTATTTGAAATTTCATGATAATATGTGCGACACATGTAGTTAATACCAATTAGATAATGTTTCAGATCATTTGTAAATGAGAAAATTTGAAAGAATGTATTTGAAAATCATATGGCTTTCAATGTTTGTATCTATTGCAATTGAATAAAGTTTCCCTAATCATAAACCATACTTTGTCAAGAATATAAGTATTCTACAGGAAAATGCATGAATGTGAAACACAGAAACATAATAAATGATGATAAAAATTAGTTGAATGCCAATGTTCTTAGATAAAAGTAAGATAATCATTTAACTTCGTCCAAATTGTCCACGTGTTATTTCAAATCATTTAAGCATGTCACTAATAAAGTTTTCTTCATCTTTTACATCAGCATTAATGGGGTGTTTCATTAAGGGAATAGCAAACATTTGAGAGCTTCACCTCGAGAGCTTAGATCCAAAGGAATTGCTGTATTTGTCCTATTAGAATAGAAATAATTCATGGGGGCTTCAAATTATACTGATTTTACCACAGGTTTGCCCTTTATGACATTATTTTACCCCTCGCTATCACTTGTGGTAAAATATTTAGCATAAAGGGCCAACCCGTGGTAAAATCAGTATAATTAAAGCCCCATGAATCATTTCTTAACTATAGGTACATGTATACAACATTCAGATGACCTGTCATGTTTATAAAAGCCAAACACATCACTGTTAAAAGTATTTAATGAAATAAGTATGAATTATACCTTTAATAGAACTGATAGCTGCACTTGAACAAAACAATGAATATCTATATCAGTGCATATTGTATATGTAACATATAAGGGTCTAATGTTCACATAGCATACACAATGTAGATACAAAATGATTGAAATAACATAAACATTTAATGTTCTTCACAATTCTACTTTGTAGCACTAGGAGAAACATCAACAAACATAAATATCAGGAATTAATGTCATAATCAGTTTTTTTTTCATTCAATAATTATGTACTATTTTTCGGGTTTCTACTCTATATTAGATATTATATAATAGTACAAATTACATTAAAAAGTCACTAAAATAAATATTGTTTCTTCATTGTCTATTTAACTCATAATCTATTGTTAGCAGGTAATTTTCTTTTCTTATGACATTTTCTACCTCTAACTATACCACATTGGAATTTTTTATTAAATAACTGATATTTATTTTCTACTGCTTTCTGACCGTCTTCACATTCCCATTTTGAATAAAATAAATATTCCATAGGAATAAACATTCCAATTTAAAAGTATAGGACACACATCTCACTGACGTCAGAGGAATCCCTCAATCTGATCCTACTTAAATCTCAACTTTGAAATCCAAAATGCAAACATAAAATACAGAAACACAATTTATAGATTTTTTAATTGAGTATAGATCAGTTCAGTGTTATATAAAAAGATGTGGATTAACCAATCTCACAAACTGATGGACAATTGAAGAAAAAAACGGACAACCATATAGACATGAATAAGATTTCCATATTATCTTATCGCTTGTGGTCATATGATACAAATAATAAGGTATGATAAAAGGCCTCTCTTTTGGTATTTGATAGCAAAATCATAAAGTATAGGTACATTGTTTTATAAATGTTTTACAATACATTCTTCAGATATTCAAGACATTACTGTCAGTAATACTGTATAAGATATTTTCTAGTATGTTTGCTTTATGTCTTAAAACTTCTTGCATCTAATGAAAACCTGCAAAATCTGATGTAATTACTTATTTTACTTCACTATATTGTAAAATAACCATCTTTGGAAAATATGTGCGATATTTGTGAAGAAAACCACATAATACTTGACATTTCACCACTTTTGTGATCAGTCTAGAAAAATTGTGGTTTGATACTAAATTTCTTGAAAATATTTTTTTGTTGATATTGAAATTTGGTAAGAAAAAATAAAAACAACATCATTTAAAAAAAAAATCTTGTTCCTGTTTGAAATAGATAAGCAATATTCTTTTCTTTTATTTAAGACAAGAACCCCCTCATGAAAATGGTCTGTGCCTACATACTTTTTAAAGGAATGAAGACTCTTACTATGTTTCTAAAATTTCTGAAGACAAATAATAGTTGTTATCATACCTCCTTTACACTTTTAGCTTACAATTCTAAAGTATTATAAATAATATTGCATAAAATAACATACTTATCAGATGTTCTGACATCTATTTGTACCTTCTATCACTGTTCCATGTCATTTAAATACCAACACTAAAATTAAATTTTACAGGTCACATACAAAGGAAAAAATATACTTACTTATTGCAATTGACAATCATAAGAAACTTAACAAGCTAAGTGGACGGATAGACAATTTTACGTAAAATTTCTTTTTAACTAATTGTGATACTTTGCTGCAAAAAAAACCCCATAGAACCACAAACTTTAGTACACTGAACCAAGTCCCCAAAACATTGATATATACTTGGTTACATCTCCTGTCATTATTGAGACTATCTATAGCTTTCATAAAGTATTGAAAAATGCTTCCTATCAATATCTTCTGAATTTTAATTTTATTCATAGCTTTGCTTAATAATAAACATTGAGAATTATATATAAATTATCCATATATTGATCATGTGACTGACTTTTGCAACAGTAGGCAGATCCCAAAAATTTTATAAATCGAAATTTATTTACCTGACCACATTTTGACACTGTCAAAAAGAAGCCAATTTATTGTCAAAGTGTAAGTGTAAAATAGTGGATTAAAATTGACAATTTAGTTATGTTACAAATTGAAAACAATGTAACAAATGTAAGTGATACAGGATAACTTTCATATGGGATTGTTTTACTTGGATTAATGCTGAACTGAACTTAGTATATCATAGAATGCAAATGTTGAAATTGAAACATGAATAATTTAACATGTAAAATATGCAAAACATTCAAAGTCCATGAGCCATGACTTAATGTTGCAATTCCAAATAACCTCATTAGAAATGAAGAATATCAATGCTAATACAACTGCATACCAAATATCATTGACTTATGCTTAGAGGTTTACTTTAAACTGACATATATTTTTCATATCTGGGCCTTTTAAAACAAACTATACAGTAAGGTTTTTTTTTCCTCATTGTTCAAGGTTGTATCGTACGGTTGCCTATAATTGCTTACATCCACTTCATTTGAACTTTGGTGGATAGTTGTCTCATTGGCAATCATACCACACCTCCTTATTTTCATACCAATCACAAACTATAACATGAAAACTAAGTAAAAGTTTCAATTTCAATAGACAATAACTGACGGGATAGGACCAAATAATATCCATGGAAATGAGATGTGCCAATGCTATTACAACTACATACTAAATATCATAGATCTATCACTATAGGTTCCCTTTAAACTGTCCTAATTATAAAACTTCCAACATGTAAATGAAGCAAAAATTTCAAAGTCAATAGGCCATGACTGTAGGGGAGGGGCAAAATTATCATTGGATTTGAAATGTGCCAATGCTAATACAACTGTATACCAAACATCATTTACCTACCACTAGTGGTTGCCATAAAACTGACCTGATCACAAACTAATACATTGTTGACGACATCACTGCCAGAAACAGCACACCTTAGTCCTGATTTTTTTCGACTTCTTCGAGGCAAGACAAAAATCTATAATCTGTCTGAACTAACTGCACTTAACAGATCTCTCCAACAGACTTCACATCAAACCATCACAAGACATAATAATAAAAAACATTTATGAGGCTTTCGTATAATTTGAATGTTAAAATACTAAGTACAAACATATTGTTCACAACATCTGCTTGGATAATAAATTTCAGTTTGCATAACGACCCTATAATCCAAGATTTTATACAGCAAAATGATGCATCTTTCTTTATTGTGCTTTCTATAAAATCATTTTTACACAATTTAAATATTTTAAATAATAAATATGACACTAATGTGCTAAATGCACAGTTATGATTTAATGTACATGTATTTGCTTTCAAATTATTGATTTAAGAGAACACTCCCTTCTGTTGTCTGCAGATATTGTCCTTCTAATAATGCCTGAACTGTTTCTAAGGGAATTGGTTCCCCATCACTGCCCTGTAATTGTACAGTACTACCGTCCTGATTCTGGATAATTATGATGCCCTCTGGTGTCTGATAAATGTTTGATGCTGTGATGACATTATTTAAAGAAACATCTTCAGTATTTAACTGATCGTTTACTAACTGAATCATTTCAGTTGACTCCATGTGATTTGTTTCTATTAATGTTTCTCCTATAGTCTGTTCTCCAGAATCAGGGTTTTCTAAACCACCAGAAGAATTTATTATGGTATTCTCTAAAGTAACATTAGAATTGCCTAAAGTCGTTGGTTCTAAAGAATCATTTGGTTCAACATCGTTATAATTTGTAATAACCAACATATTGCCTTCATTGCTTTCAGTAACTTCAGGTTTAATCTGTAAAGAGTCTGAATCCATGTCTGTTTCTCCTATGTTATTTATGTTATTTTCCCCAATGATGACTCCAGCTTTTGACACCACAGATGACAATAAACTAGTTGCTACAGAATTAGAGATAATTTCAGTCTGTTTTGGTACCTGGTTATGACTTAATAAGGATGTATTGTACACAGAACTTATCTTTCCTACAGAATTAAATCCAGTAGAATTATTCACTGGAACTATTGTGATTCCTGAGGAGATATTAGATTGTACCACTGTGCTAGGTTTGGATGTTGAAGTCTGTGAAGGTCTTTTCTGAGGTAATGATTTACTATTTAACAAAACACTCTTTGTAGGTGAAACTTGATTACTGACAAATTGACTTTGTTTACTGACAGAAGGTAGTGTTGATGTGTGTGATGATATAACATTAGACTGTGAAGACTGCACACATTCTAAAACTGCAGCCGAACAATTGGATTGATTTTTATTCATGACTATTAATGGATTAGAACTTGTTTGTGAAGTTTGTGCATTATTTACTAGAACTATTTTAGGAGATGTAGAATTAGTTGTTTGTGGTGTTCCCATTAACACAATGTTTCCTTGAGTAGACACTACAACATTACTCTTTTTATCATTAGGTAAAATAGATTTAAATCTTTTGGTGGGAGATTCTGTGGATGGACCCATCATCACTTCTATTGTATGTGGTCTTTTATGCCTAACAGTGTTAAACTGCTTTACAGTTTCAATTTTCTCTGTATTGTTCAGATCATTCTCCACAAATGTAGACTGAAGAACAGCCGTATTCACTTCATATGTTCCTGTTTCAAATCCAATAGCTTCTGTTAATCTACTATTTGACATCTGAAATAAAAATGTTTGTACATTCATTTATGCACTCAAAAATAACATTATCATGATTATTAAAAATCAAATTTCATCTTTACATTACAATCTTTAATCCTTTGGTTATATCCAAATGCAAATGATGATAAATAATCTCTGAATTTTTGGTATTTTATTGAAAAAATATTCCATTTAGTCTTTGGGTCAGTTGACCAGATAACAACAAAAACTTCCTGAACAACAAGTCCATTGTTTCTTTTTAATGTATGATCATTTGCAGATCAGAAACAGGTGCATCTCAAAAATATTAGAACTCACTGTTCACCTAAAGGAAACCCTGAGTAGTCATTTGATCAAAAATAAAGTAGGAACATGTAACTCTTAATTTATGTAAACCAAAAATTTTTGATGTTCATATCAATAAGTTTAAGAGGAGCAACTAATAAATAAAACAAAAGTGTTACAGTAAACCTCACTGTACTGAAAAATTTCTCAAAATGAAAAAAACTTTATATATTTGTTTGACCTGAGATTAAGTGCAACTTAAACTTCTAAATCTATGTTAACTTGAAAAAAAACACATATTTAAAGTATGACCTATACACTTTAGTGGATTGGTAAATCTTTAAATCTGTGAGAAATTACAATGTGGTGATCCTTTTGCTACAGATGTTTTAAATTTTAAAAAACTTACTGTAATATAATTATTTTTTGTTTTATTTCTTATATGTTTTTCATTTAGAAAATAAGTCATCTGCAAAAACTGTTATAGTCTTCATCTAAAGCATTGGGCTCACTTTGAAATATAGGCTGCAATATTATTTTTGCTTATCAACTGGTACCATGAAAATAAAAATGAAGGAAGTCTGGGAACAAGGAGAGAACCAGAGTCCTTCAGCAGGGAAACTGACAATCCTATTCAATTGAGACCGTCCACATGTGGTTGGAACTCATGTGATTGTCGACAGGCTAGTGAACACTGTAGATTTACTATTTAGACCACTCGGCCACCAAGGCCTCCTTCTTTCAATGAACTTGTGCCTGCGATAAATGACGTCTCCAGGTGAAATAAAATATCTCAAATGAGTGAACCAGGTAATCACATGATCAAAATTGTACAGGTCAGCACATTAAATTGACCAGAAAAACAGCATATTTTTGCCTCAAATGACCTTAACACAGATACATTTAAACTAATCTTATGTTTTATTTTAGTTTTCCAAGGACCAATATAGAATCTAAAACACTTATGAAAAAAAATGGGTACGGAAGATTGCTTTTTAATTTATTTTCGAGGCACAGCTGTGTACTGAAATATTCCATTGATGTTCTTTTTAACTTTCATCTCTTTATACCTAAATCAGCTCTTTTTATATCAATGGTAACCGACAACATATCTTGCATTGCAGCAGCAAATATGGACATGTTTATAAATCATTAGAGCTTCTAACAAAATGTTATGCTTACTGTTAGCTCAGGCAAATTTTACTTTTTCCTTTTGTCATTAAGTGGGAGAGGACAATAATATGGTGAAACTAATAGTTACTATTTTGTTTTTATAACAGGAATTGTAAGTGCAGTCTACTAAAAAAATTATACAAGCATTGGTATTCAGTATGTTTTTAAAGTTAAATAGATAAAAATTTCAATGGACAAGGCTGCCTACTATGGACTAGTCGAAAAAGCAAAATCTAAGCAAGATGTTGTGCATGGCATTGAGGAAGATAACAGTTTTGATTACCTTAATTCTATTATCTAAACTTTCATCTGACTTGCCGTCTGAAAGTTTTAAGCAGGTTTTAAATAAATCGTTCACTTTTTCTGTCAGCAATTCAAATTCCTGATATACACTTTGTATGTTTGGTTTATTGGTATTGGTGGATTCTACCTTCATCATGAGAAATTCCCACAATGTTACAACTTTGGCTAGTCTTGGTAGAACAATGTCCATTAAATCCTCTGTGTCATATTGTTTAATAAACTGTAAGAAAAACAATAACATGCAAATTAATGATTCACTCAGAATAATAAACTATCAAAAATCTACATATTATAAAAACTCAATTTGCAAGAAGAACTTTATTATTCTAATTGCAGTCAAAGTCCTTCAAGGTTTAATTTTCAGTCCTCAATGGTGGGTCAGTGTTAAGATTATCAGGTATATACCACCCTATCAAAGTCCAGTTACATAATGTGAAATTAAAATTTATTTGTAACAATCTACTTCCCCACAAAACTCTATTGCATTTTTAAAGAGTCTAAAGGCCAACTTTAGTACACTTTGTTGAATATTTCGTATGATGCACTATCAATGTAACAGTTTACGTCAGAACATCAAATTTATTTCAAAAGTCTGAAGTTAAATATCGTTTTAATGTCAATCATTGATATGATGCTCAAATTATTACCATGTCATGGTTGCCTTTTGTTGCTAAGTCTTACAGGATTGAATTTGAAATAAGAAAAAAAAAAGTCTGGCTGGCTAGTTTTAATGTCTTTCAGGTGTCTTATCAGGTTTATAGATCTATAAATAACCAGATTCAATGTCAATAGGGAATTCCCCATATTTCTTGACCAAACAACAGCTGCATGGGGAATGGACCCCCCTTTTTTTGTGTTGTAATTTTTTGTAATACTGTGGATTCATTTATTTTTGTGGGTATCAATTTTCGTGGATAGAGAAAAACAGACATTTCCTGGGATACGTAAATTCGTGGATAGCTGTTTCAAAAAAAAAAATGTTTCAGATACGATAATTCGTGGAAATCTGTTTGAATAATAAAAAATAAAAGATCGAAATTTATTGAAAATGTTTTGAATTGTCAAAACCTTGCTTGGACATTCTAGGTTAAAATGTTCATTTAAAACTTCAATTGCAAGCGTGGACAACAGCAACTAATTATTAGTTTGTTTAACAATTTATAATTTCTTGCCAAATTTTTCTTAGCCTTTGATGTACAACTGATTGAAAGTTATTTTCCTAATTACAACATAATAAGCAGTCATTAGAAAAATATTAAAGTAAGAAACACGCTTACGATGTTTGCCAAAGCCCATAAAAAGCATGCTGCAATAATTACTCATCGTGCCTTTTTGTAATATAAACTCTGGGGAACATGTAAAAGGCTATTTTTTCTAGATTTTAAGTTTCATGTCGGAAATAATAATTTCATTTAATTTTTGATGAACGATTTTAAACTTAAAAGTTTTATTTGTAAAATGTATGATTTGTATCGATGATTGTCTTAAAGGATTATAATAAATGGGTTAAAAGTGTACATCACAACGTGTTCATGTACAAGTAAATTGTTATTTTAATCAAATATCGTTTTCAGAATAAAAGAGTGAAAATTAATGTTCCTGTCAACAAAAAAATATTATCTAAGGGCAATGTCCCGTACTTAATCTTATTGATTTTTAATCACCTTTAGACCAAATTATGACACGGTAATTAACAAATTGCAGTTATTTCCCATGAACTATTTTAATCAATTTAACAACGTAAATTGTCACTTTTATTCTACAGATTTCATTATTTATTTAATCAAAATACTTTTATAATTTATTTCAAGAACACGTTTTATGTTACCATGTCTATCGCAAATCAACACTATACTGGAACTGCACAACATAATTGAACATAAACACATTTCTCGGGATTATTCTTCATTGAATTTTAAAATTCGTGGTTTGCTGTGTCCCACGAAACCCACGAAAATTGGTTTACCATGAATAAAAATGAATCCACAGTATATATTCTTTAATATCTTAGCTTATTTTCACTTGTTTAAAGTGATTTTGCTCTAAAACATACAGCATTACAATAACAGTAGTTTACATATGATGCCCCTCTATTCTTATTTTCCACAAGACAGGAAAGATTAAAAATCTAAGTATCGTAATCTACACACTTCCTGCACATTTTAAGCACCATACCTTCATTATATCATACAAATTATAATGTGTAATAACTACCTTTTCCTTTCTGTTGTGGGGTTGTATAATGTATGTACAATCACTAAGCTATCCAGAAATTACAAAGTTTCAATCCTTAGAAGCTTTAACTTCGTCAAGTCCATCACTGATGACAGAAGTTGCTGTCAAACGAATGCGCTGTATAACTCCAAATGCAAGGAATGAATCATGAAGTCTGATATAAAGTTTGAAAGTTGTTAACAGCAGCCAAACTTTAAAAAAATAAAAAATATTGGAAATCTTTTGAACTTTTCAGACTTCATTAATTCCTTGCATTTGAAGTGTTTGACGTCAACCACATATTCAAATATACTGTCTACCTGTCAACTGTTGACCTCAGTGTTTTGCATTTGCGCCAAATTTTTTTTCCATTTGCGCCAATTTTTTTCTTTATTTGCGCCCAAATTACAGGTAAACACAAGTGATGAGACATATAAGTTGTATAGAATTTATTGATATAATAACAAAAATACCCCTTCCTTCTGCCATCTGCTCACCACAGGGAGGTGGAAGAGGGATTTCGAGCAGGATAAGTTTATAGCAAAAGTTTCTAAAACTGTATCACACTTAAAATAGCACTTTTTTAAATAAAATAGTAAGTTTGACGTCAAAAGCACATTTGCATATTTACAAGTTTTTCCTAGCTGAGTATTGTTATGCAAAACTTCTGGTGAACTGCGACCTTGTGATATCTTCTCTACTATACATCTGATACTTTTTACTAAAAAATTCTTTTTTTCCTTTTCATTTTTTCTTACGGGTGCTGCCATGTCGAGAGATCTGATTTCTACATAAGTTGATGCCTGGATTTTCTTTATGATATCCATATAAAATGTAAATGTTCGGGTAACAGAAGTGTTTAAATCAATGAGTGTAACATGTATGTATATACATGTACATATACTCATGGAACACCACTTATGCCTGCTACGTTCGGTTTAACTAAGTAACGATAACTATTAAAATGTATCAGATCTTACCTGTTCAAATTAAATTAGCGCAAAAGAAAATAAAATGCTTCGCCGAGCACAGCTGGATAAGACAGCAGAGGTCCAACCCTGAACAGTTGGGGCAAAAATGGACACAATATTCAAGCTTGATACAGGTCTGAATTTGGATTGTAATTAAATATTTGACACATTATAGGTTTTTGACACAGAATAAATGTATTCAAAGAACTTGAAATTGGTTATATGATTTGAATTTATATTCAATTGAAGATTTCTTGCTTTTGTGCAACACACTGTGCTGTTGCGCAATACTTAGTAAATCTGTTTTCAGACTATATACAAAGAATTAGCAAAATAAATTGTGACACCAAATTTTTCTTTAGAAAATTGACAAATTCTTAAATCTTGAGGAAAAAAAGACTTTTTTTCCTTTTGTGGTATTGAACCTTTTGATTAAATTTCATAGAGATCCATACACTTAAACTAAAGTTATTGTTTCCGGAAACCAAATGTCTTCGAACAATGACGTGGTAGCAATATACGACCCCAAATTTTGTTTGCGGTCGTATAAAAAGTAATAATTGGCGCAAATGAAAACAAGAGTGCACACGCTTGAATGTCTCGCCTGTTTTGCTAACCATTAATTTTATGTTGAAAGTCTTAAAGATAAAGGTTTTATTACAAGTATCACATAAACTTAACATTTTTAAAGATCCATGACAATGAGGTCAAGGTCAGATAAAAACTGCCACACAGACAGGTACACCTTACAATTATTCAATACACAAAATATAGTTGACCCATTGCTTATGGTAATTGAAAAATAGACCACAACACAAAAACTTAATGTTGACCAATGAACCATGGAAATGAGGTCAAGGTCAGATGACACCCGCTTGACAGACACGTACACCTTACAAATCATTCCATACACCAAATATAGTTGACCTATTGCTTATAGTACTTGAAAAACAGATTTAAACACAAAAACTTAACATTGAGCAATGAGCCATTAAAATGAGGTCAAGGTCAGATGACACTAGCTAGACAGACATGTTCACCTTACAATCATTTCATACACCAAATATAGTTGACCTATTGCTTACAGTACTTGAAAAACAGACCAAAACACCAAAAATAAACAATGACTAATGAACCATGAGGTCAAGATCAGATGAAACCTGCCAGTCTGACATGTACCCCTTACAATCATTCTATACACCACATATAGTTGACCTGCTGCTTGTAGTATCTGCGAAACGGACCTAATCATGTAACTTTAACATTGATCACTGATTCATGAATTGAGGTCTAGGTCAGGTTAACCCTGTCTGATGGACATGTAGATGTTGCAAGGAACCCATATACCAAATATAGTTATCCTATTACTCATAATAAGTGAGAAATTAACATGACAGAAAAACTATTTTTTTTTCAAGCAGTCGCTGAACCATGAAAATGAGGTCAAGGACAACGGGCATATGACAGACGGAAACTTCGTAGCATAAGGTATCTGCATGCAAGGTGTGAAGCATCCAGGTCTTCTACCTTCTGAAATATAAAGCTTTATACAAATAGTTTACGCTGCCGCCGGATAGTAATACCTGTGTCTCGCATTTTGATATTTTCAAAATTGGCGCAAATGTCATACGCCCGTTGACCTGTAAACCCATATAATCTCAATAACTAACCTATTGGATTGTCTACCTGTTGACTGTCAAACTGGTTATATAACCTAATGAAATATTTACTAGGCTTTATTTTATATACTCCAGTTAAGCCTCAGTTTTTGCCATTAAAACTTTGTTATAGATATTCCAAATGATTTCAGCTGTTTACAATTTCTACTATATACAAGTGAAGCAGAAACTGCCGACCCTTCTAAAGCATCTGAGTTCATGTTTTTTGTAGGGTTAGTGCGTCTGAATCTTTTTTTTCTGTGCAGTGCTTTGTGTACCGTTCACATTTTTTCTTTTGCAACGGCTTTGGCTTCTTTTGTTAGACTCCTGGTTTTTGATTGCCCTTGGAATCTTCTTCATAAAAAGATTCTTAAGGATAAACACCTTTATTATTTCATACCTCTCTAAGTTTATGTCTTTTCCGAGCTGGAGTTTGTTCATACATAGGTGGTCTCCCTCTCTGACCTTTCTTTCTTGGTCGTCCAGGTGTAGGATACCAAACAGACGCACCTGGAATGGAGTCTTGAGTATTGCTATCTTCTGATATACTGCCTGTATATGCCATACCATTTGCTGTGGGCCTACTTAAATTACTGGAATCTGCAATAAAGTTCATTATTTATGCATTATATAATTCATTACATTCAAAATGTAATATAAATACTAGCAACTCCCTAGATCCTGAATCCCTCTCCTAGTATCATACCTGTCAACTGACCCGGATCCTGCGGGTGTGACCCGAGATTTTCACAATTCTGAGGGGTCACCCAGAACACCCGCCAGGTGACCAAATAACCCAGGAATTCGGAAAATAACCCGTTTTCACCCGGATTCCTAAGCCTTCAGACTGATTAGATATAAACTGATTTCTTTAAAATACCTGCAAATTCGTAGTCCTTCCTGGACAAGAAGTTCAACTAGCTGTGTAAACTCAGCTCAAGTGACCCATTTCAGTGCATGGCTTCACTTGACAGCTTTGGTGTCAAACACACTGTTAATTAACACCAATTAACTTAGCTTTAGGTCGTACATAATTTGTGTATTTCAAAGTTGTTTTAAAAACAATTTGAGTTACTTCCCCTTTTTTGTCAATTCACAATATACTCCTTAAACTTATGTTTTTTTTGTAAAAAGATTAAATCTAAAATGAATTGAATGCAAAAACATATCAGAATAATACTTTTACTTATTGTTCTACCTTTGAACAATTAAAAAATAAAAATTTTGAAAATTACTTTTTTCATCTATACCTACCTCCTTTAATTGTTTAACTTTATTTTATCATACTCTAATATCAACCTCTACTGTTGAACAGGAATAAAGGCAATGTAACACAATTCTATCAATGTCCTCCAAGTGCAATGAAATAATAAAATGTACAATTTTAAATTACTTAACCATGTGGACATGTTTTGGAAGCTTTGATATAAAATATAAGAAAACTAACTGTCCCCTAAATACTGAAATTCAGCTAAAAAAACTTAGTACGCATTATGACCTGAGATTTCATTGTCATAGGTTGACAGGTATGTAGTATATATCATTATGCAAAACTAAAATCATCAGTAACAGTGGCAACCATCTTTCATACACCAAGCCATATTGTTGCAAGGTTTATTCCAGCTCCACTCTGAGAATATAATTAGGTCATTTAAAAACAATAATCATTTGGCTTTATAATTATAGTCACTGACCATATTATGTTGATGTGTTTCTGTAGAGTTTTGTCTATAAAAAAAGACATGCTCATGGAATATTTCCAATGTCCACTTCAAATTTTAAAAAGTTTATTTAAAAAAAAAAATTTCATTCAGAACAGTAAGAGTCTGCATAGCCTTGCATTCTATTCTATCTCATAAATGGAAAATTCCAAAAACATCGTTCTTGTCAGTCTTTGGCATTCTTCAAAGTTTTCACCAAAATATGAATAAAATGCTCCGCTGGGCGCAGCTTGATACGACCGCAGAGGTCGAACCCTGAACAGTTGGGGCAAGTATGGACACAACATTCAAGCTTGATACAGCACTGAATTTGGATTGTGATTAAATATTTGACACAGCATAGGTTTCTGACACAGAATGAATGTGGTCTAAGAACTTAAAATTTCTTAATTTACCTATTCAAACCATATCATTATTATTTGCTTTTATATATAAATCAGAAATAACCAATTTAAAATGGAAAATTTTAAAGAAAAAAAAAGGAAACTAGAGGCTCTAAAGAGCCTGTGTCGCTCACCTTGGTCTATGTGCATATTAAATAAAGGACACAGATGGATTCATGACAAAATTGTGTTTGTAGATCTTACTTTACTGAACATTCTTGCTCCTTACTATTATCTCTATCTATAATGAACTTGGCCCAGTAGTTACAGTGGAAAATATTTTGTAAAAATTTACAAAAATTTATGAAAATTGTAAAAAATTGACTATAAAGGGCAATAACTCCTTAAGGGGTCAATTGACAATTTTGGTCATGTTGACTTATTTGTAGATCTTACTTTGCTGTACATTATTGCTGTTTACAGTTTACCTCTATCTATAATAATATTCAAGATAATAACCAAAAGCTGCAAAATTTTCTTAAAATTACCAATTCAAGGGCAGCAACCCAACGTGTTGCCTGATTGGTCTGAAAATTTCAGGGCAGATAGATCTTGACCTAATGAACAATTTTATCTAGTCAGATTTGCTATCAATGCTTTGGTTTCAGAGATATTAGCCAAAAACTGCATTTTACCCTATGTACTGTATTTAGCCATGTCGGCCATCTTGGTTTGCGGGCGGGGTCAGCGGACACATTTTTTAAACTAGATACCCTAATGATGATTGTGGACAAGTTTGGTTAAATTTGTCTTAGTAGTTTCAGAGGAGAAGATTTTTGTAAAAGATTACAAAAATTTACGAAAAATGGTTAAAAATTGACTATAAAGAGCAATAACTCCTTAAGGGGTCAACTGACCATTTTGGTCAAGTTGACTTATTTGTAGATCTTACTTTGCTGAACATTATTGCTGTGTACAGTTTATCTCTATCTATAATAATATTCAAGATAATAACCAAAAACGGCAAAATTTCCTTAAAATTACCAATTCAAGGGCAGCAACCCAACAACGGGTTGTCCGATTCATCTGAAAATTTCAGCGCAGATAGATCTTGACCTGATAAACAATTTTACCCCATGTCAGATTTGCTCTAAATGCTTTGGTATCAGAGATATAAGCCAAAATCTACATTTTACCCCTATGTTCTATTTTTAGCCATGGCGGCCATCTTGGTTGGTTGGCCAGGTCACCGGACACATTTTTTAAACTAGATACCCCAATGATGATTGTGGCCAAGTTTGGTCAAATTTGGCCCAGTAGTTTCAGAGGAGAAGATTTTTGTAAAAGTTTACGGACGACGGACGACGGACGCAAAGTGATGAGAAAAGCTCACTTGACCTTTTAGGTCAGGTGAGCTAAAAAGGAAAAAAAAATCCCTCCGCCAAATTTTTTGAACCTCTTTATGATTCATCACCCCCAAACTCAATCCCAGCCTTCCCTTTGTGGTAAGGTACCTTGCAGTACAATTTCAGAGAGATCCATACACTTGAACACAAGTTATTGTCTGGTAGCTAGAAAAATGCTTGTTTTTAGGCCCCTTTTTGGCCCCAAATTCCTAAACGTTTAGGGCAATTACCCCAAAACTCAAACCCAGCTTTCCCTTTGTGGTATGGAACCTTGTAGTACAATTTCATAAAGATCCATACACTTACACACAAGTTATTGTCCTGAAACTAGAAAAATTCTTGTTATTGCCCCTTTTTTGCCCCTAATTCCGAAAATTTTGAGGCAATTACCCCCAAAATCAATCCCAGCCTTCCCTTTGTGGTATGGTACCTTGCAGTACAATTTCAGAGAGATCCATACACTTGAACACAAGTTATTGTCTGGAAACAAGAAAAATGCTTATTTTGGCCCCCTTTTTGGCCCCTTATTCCTAAACGTTTTTGGCAATTACCCCCAAACTCAATTCCAGCTTTCCCTTTGTGATATGGAACCTTGTAGTACAATTTCAGAAAGATTAATACACTTACACACAAGTTATTGTCATGAAACTAGAAAAAATGCTTGTTTTTTGCCCCTAATTCCTAAAATTTTGAGGCAATTACCCCCAAAATCAATCCCAGCATTCCCTTTGTGATATGGAACCTTGTGGTACAATGTCAGAGAGATCCATACACTAACACACAAGTTATGTCTGGAAGTTACAAAAATGCTTATTTTTGGCCCCTAATTCCTTAACTGTTGGTACCATAACCCCCAAAATCAATCCCAACCTTCCTTTTGTGGTATTGAACCTTATGGTAAAATTTCATAGAGATCCATTCACTTAAACTATAGTTAGAGTGCGAAAACCAATGTGTCTTTGGACGATGACGACGACGCCAACGTCATACCAATATACGACCGCAAAATTTTGTTTGCGGTCGTTTAAAATTGGTAAAAAATCATCATTAAAGTAAAGGGCAATAGCTCCTTTAAAGAGTTGACTGACAATTTCAGTCATGTTGACAACCATCAAAACTTGGTTAGGTGCAGCGACTAAACTTAACTTTTTTCTCCAAGGGACAGCTGGTCCCCCAATTTTTTTTCAGGGGCCAAGTTTAAATTTTAGGGGTCCCAACCAGTTTTTAAACTAATAAGATAAAAATTAAGTGTACTGTACATACAAATTAATAAAGGTAAATCCTACATGTATGTATATGTATTTTTTTTATTCTTTCCAAACATGTACTTATAGTACTCAAACTTCCGATATAGATTTTTATACATCATTTAAATTACAAAATACATGTACAGCAGGTAAATTATTTTTAATTTTTTAAATTAACTATGTTAAAAAAATGCTACCACATTCCAAGTTTCATCTGAACCTTATTTATTACAGCAAAATCCAATTACTATTTATTTCTTTTTTTTTTTTAAGGAGGGTCGTCAATAAAAGAAAATTGATTTGCCATTGAACATACTCCAAGATTATTTCCCTTCAGGACTTCACGTTGACATTTTGACAATATGGCTTTTTCTGTGAATCAATAAATCCTATTTCAAAAGCAAGCAACTCTCTGTTAGTATTGATCTTAAAATAATATTCCACACATGCGACTAATCAACACAAGAGTGCACACGCTGAAATGTCTTGTCTGCTTTACTTATGGTTGAATTTATGTTGAAATATGAATATGTAATATGAAAGTTTGACTACATGGCCATGTATCACATTAACTTAACATTATCAATGTTGTATGAAAATGAGGTCATATTCAGATGAACCATGCCAGACAGACATGTACACCTTACAATCATTCTATACACCAAATATAGTGGTCCTATCGCTTATAGTACCTGAGAAACAGATCAAACCACAAAATCTTAACATTGACCATTTAACCATGAAAATTGGGGTTTAGTTGACAGTTCAAGTTCTTCAAAAAATTTACAAAAAATCTGCCAATTATAGAAGATACATTGAAGCACAGTGGATGCAAAAACTAAATACAATTAGGCCAAGGAACTAAATCTATAACATCTTAATGATTGTGAAAGTAAAATGTCT